GACTTGTGTTTATGGCCATGGCTCTGCCCCTTCCTAGGTTTATAGGAGCAAATTGTTGTAAGAGCGGAAAGAGAGTGCCCACCTTTTGTGGTAATGTGCCATTGTAAACTTAGGAAGGGACAGATACATTGCAATTCTAGAGCATACCTTGAGGATACTTTCTTTTCTCAGGGAAGTTGGTAAGTTTCTCTTGGCTTCTTATCTTAAGAACACACATTTGATTTTTCTCATCCTCTGTTTCTCAAAAGGATTAGCTGGAATTCCAGATATAAACAGCTGTTTGGTATGTACCTTCTAGCCTTGACATAGTTATTTAAGAGTTTGTATTGGCAAAGTCCTTTTTGTTAATATTTGGTTAATTTTCCTACCTTTCACTAATGTTAGCTGGTTTAAGATTTTGATTATATATTTTTAATTTAAACACTGAATCAAAATTATGTTTCTTAAGTTCTCTTGCCTCTGAATATAGTTGTCTTTTTTTCCTTTGAAAAAATGTCAAAGTATTATTTGGAGCATTTTTAAATATACTTTAAAAATTATTTGAAAGTAATATCAGTAATGCTTAATTTTTAACTAACATGGTAGTTTCATAAATCTGTTCAAATGAAACAGTGTCTTTATGGCTGTTATTGAGAGAATAATATGCAGTGATTTATATATTGCTTGGTTTTAGATTGATTTGAAAACTCTGAGATTTTTTTTTCATGTTGAGATTTGGAGAAGTTATAAAAATAATTAAATGAGTGATTTCCCAACACCTGCCTCATGTTTGAGGTATTGTCAGGGATGTTTAGTTTTCTGGTCACTTTAGATTGTGGTTTATTGCATGCTTTTCTGCAGTCTGTTGTCTAGTGGGAATTGTTGTTGTCATCATTTCCATTATTTCTTATAGGGCTGGTGTTAGAAACCATAAATCTAGGCTGTAGTGATAATAGGAACAGGTTGTAACCTGATCCAGTTCTTTTGTCAAAATGTCACACCATGAGCTGCCTGTAGTAAACTGACATGCCCTGCCATTAACTCCACTCCTCCACAAATGTCTGTGGGCAGCAGGTCTTTGGGCAATTAGCCTTGTGGCTGTCCTTTAAAACCTTAGGAATTTACGACTATAAACTGGAATTTTGGCAACCCTTGACTTGTCTTTCATTTATCTGTCTACTGACATGACATGCTTCTTAACTAAATGCATAACTTTTCACATAAATCATTTTAAAGTTGTAAGTGATTAATTATTTTAACTTGTAGGTTATAATTTTTTAGATAACTTAAACATTCTTGAAAAGAGTTGTCTTACTGGATTTGTTTTGACACAGAAAAAGATTAATTTCTAATTTGTTGGGGTAAATTTTACTAAAACATAAGCCTTCCTCCAGAAGGCTTGCTTTGATAAATCTTTACTACCAAAAATACCTTTCTTAATATTGATTAGTCACAATTCAGAGATAGAATTTTTAAATGTAATTGCAACATTAGAGTTTATTTTTTTCTGATTACTTCTATAGATATGTTAGAAAATGGGACAATTTATTATTTTAATGAGTTGTGTGAATTGAATAGGTAATTATGCCATCTCAAAGCAATGAATCATGTCCAGTTCAATGTTATGTTGGCTATACAATGGATATATACGCTTTGTCTATACTTTATTAGGATAAATCACACTTACTATAAGCAAAATCTTAAAAGAAGGGACTTATGTTTGTCACAGGGAAATATATAGCCAGACTGTATTTGAATTAAATCAACATTTTTTGCATCTAGGTATGTGAAGTACTTCTTTTAAACAAAATAAACTAATTTCAATTCATAATGAAAAACTTAAGGATTTGTTTTGTGCATTTAACCCTTGCACAATGAAGGGCATTTTTGTTTGTTGTTCAAGTCTGAAAAGCGTCTTTATAGCAAGATAGATAAAGAAAAAAACCCTTTCCACTTGGGAAATTCCATTAATTGTATTCCATTAATTTTTGCTGAATTGTGTGTATGACTTTCAATCACATATTACAACATTTCCTTTAAAACACCAGCAAATCAATAAATATTTACTAGATGAATAGTGAATGAATGAATGATTGAAAAGAACAGGTTGATCGCAACCTTAACTGGAAGTGAAAATAAAGCAAAATGTGAAATAAAATAAAACAACAAAATTATACTTGTGAACTTTTGTTTGTCTTGAAATTTGTTATACTTTTGATATGCTCAAATATATTGAGATAGGATAAATAGATGAGACAGGGAAATCAGATTTATTTTTAATAAATAATATATTTAATAAAATGGCCAGACTCAAGACATTAGAACCAGGAAGTAAAAACTGAAAAACCAGAGCAGCTAGCTCCTCTCCCATCACATTTTAGATGTTAAGTTACAAGAATAGGGAGATAAAGGAGCTATCTGTACTTGCCTTCCCCTTTGAAATATGTTAAGAAGCTGTTAACTCTTCCACTAACAGGTAAAGAGTCAAAAATCTGGCAAAGTCCTAAAGCTCACCTATTGTCCGTGTGTTTTGGGTAGTCCCAGATCACATCCTCATTTTTGTTTAGCCTGTGCTGGGGTTTGAACTCAGAGCCTCCCACATGCTAGACAGGTCTTTATCACTTGAGCCACTCCCTTTTTTGTGTTGGTTATTTTTGAGATATGGTCTTGTATGTGAATAGGCCTGGACCTCAATCCTGTTTATGTCCCTGCATATGTGGGATGACAGGCACATGTCACAGCATCTAGCCATTAGTTGAGATGGGGTTGTGAGAAGTTTTTGCCCTGGATGGTCTTGAGCCCTTGATCCTTCTGATCTCCACCTCCTGAGTAGCTAGGATTACAGGCATAAGCCACCAAGCCTGGCCTCTTATGTTTTAGAATAATAAACAGCATCCATCTTAGCCACCCACAGCCATTGATTAGGGACTAAGCTAATGATTAGGGGCTGCAGAACCACTTGACCATATGTATTCTGTAGCTCAGAAAGTATAAAAACCACAGATAACCCCACTCCCCCTGGAGTCTTTATTCTAGTTTCCTGTGTAGGGAGCAGGAAATGTTTCTCCCCCTTACATCTCCCCATTTTATCCTGTTACACTAAAATAAACACTTGCTTAAAATTTCCACCTTTTGAGACTTCCTTGTGAGAAACTTTGAAATACTTTTTCACATGTGGATCTCAAGTACCTGTGATTTTGCATGGAAACTGGGAAGCTGAGGGGACCCCCTCATTTCTCATCCAGTGACAATATGATGGAACATTTTTGCAAAATAATATATTTTGCAATTAGATTATTTTGTCAATATGGACTGTTGTGTCTTCCCTTTTTGTGAATATTGTTTTAAAGCACATGTTTCTGTTCACCTGTTCTGCAGTTGGAATTTATAAACCAAATTCTGATATAACATCAATTCTTACTCTTTGCTTGAAAACAATGCCTGTAATACTAACCCATTTATCATGGACCTGTCTTTTTGAGATTTCACACATCCTACAAAGAGATAAAATGCAGAATAAAAATAAAGGTCAGTCAGCAACTGGGAAGGAGAAAGATATTGAAGGTGGAGGATTGCTGCAATTCTCACAGAGCTGACTTAGACTTGTGTGTAAATTAAGATGGTAGATTTGATGTTGTAGGAAGGAACAGAGAACCAACAACAATAGCCACAAGAAACATCTCATCAAAAAAGTAAAACCTCCAACATTCTGGTTCTATATGGTATTGTCTCCCTATCGTTCTTTCAAAGCATGTACAATACATTAAAGCCTTGACTTTAGACATCTGACAAACCTTGGTTAGAGTTATTTCTATTTCAATATTGGCTTTCTGAGCTTGCACGATCAATAGAACTTGATAACTGATAAGAGATTGGACAAAGGAGAGAATCAAAGATGACTTTTAGTTCAGAAAGATTGTAATGCCTATTAAATGTTAAAATAGGAAGGAGAAGGGGAGGAGCTCATTTTGGGTCACAAAAGAGTTTGGTTTTTTAAAATATATTGTGTTTAAGGGGTCGCAAAGCATTCAGGCTGATGTTCATTTGGCTAGATTAGAAATTTTGGCTAGGCGCCTGTGGTGTGTGCCTGTAATCCTAGCTATTTGAGAGGCTGAGATCCAGAGGATCAAGATTCAAGGTCAGACCGGGCGATTCAAGGTCAGACCGGGCAAATAGTTCATGAGACCCCATCTCCAAAATAATCAGAGCAAAATGGACTGGAGGCACACAAATGGTTGAGTTGCTGCTTTGCAAGTGTGAATCCCTGAGCTCAGTCCCACCAATTTTTTTTTTTTGAAGAGAAAGTGGGACTAGAGAGGCTAGTATAGAAGTTGTCTGCATAGGGGTGTTGCATTAGCCATGGAATAGAACAAGATTGTAGTCCATGGACTCGCAAGGAAGAAATGAGGGACTAGAGAATAACATACCTGAGATTAAGAGAGCAAAAATGTCTGACATGAGGACTGACCTTTAACAAAGGGTTCTTTAATGTCAAGGTGAATGAGGATTGAAACACTGAAATGAAGTTTGATGTCTAGAAGATACTTGGGGTCTTGGAAAGCAGTTAAAGGAGAATAATGAAGGTAGAGGCAGATTGCAGAAAGTAAAGTATCCCAGAAACTCTTTTCTCCATGTTATGTATGCTCTCATTGATATTTATGACCATAACCCTGGTCATCAGGAAAAGATTAGTCAGCCTGGTAAATACACCTATGTTGCCTGCATTAAATGCATTTATGAATTAGGATTTTTCAATTTAGGATGGGTTCATCAGGATATAACTTCATTATAAGTCAAGGAGCCATCTGTAACATACTTAATATTTTCTGTACTAATAAAAATTCAGATATTGCCGTGTGTGATGGTGCATCTCTATAATCCCAGCACTAGGGAAACTGAGTTTGGAGGATTTATCTGATACTGTAACTGATCCCTAATATTACTACCCTTCAGAATTGTATCATGCTAAAAGGAGTCATTGCTTTTTTTTCTTTCAGGAAAAAACACCAGAAAGTGATACCATGGGACAAACAGCAAATGAAGGTAAGATTTACTTGTTTAAAGATGGTAATGTTTTTAGTTACTTGTTTGGGATGAATATCTTATTGTATCCTAAACTTTTGAAATACAGCCTTTTAAAAAATAAGAGACATTAGGTGCTTAGAATTGGAATTTTTAGAACTGAATAGCTATTAAAAGTAATTATGTCTTTCTGTCCTAGTTTTAAAAATGAATACAGTGAAACTCAGGGAGGTTAAGTGAACAGGTCATACAATAATCTGTGACAAAGCCAAGGTTGGAATCCAAACCTTCTGGGCTAGGTAGGTAGCTCAGTGGTACTTGCCTAGCATGTGCAAGGCCCTGGGTTTGGTCCCCCAGTGCTGTCCCCCCCAAAAAAAGAAAAAGAAATACAAAAAAGGAATAAATAGAATCCCAATTGTATAGCTCTAATATGAGTGATTTAAAAATGTTTCATCCTGTCTTGCTATAGTGAGAAGTCTGCTTACTGTCCCATGAATAGACCACACTCATTTGTACTTTGTGTTGTATTTTCTTTCCCATTATACGTTCTTCACACATTTGCCTTCCTAAATCTTACTCCTCTTTCAAGTCTTGTATCTCTCATGAATTTTCCTCTGCTTAATTGTTGAGCACTGCATACTATTCTCTAATTGTGTTTGGTTTATTAGTTTCTTAAGTATATTAGTTTAGTGCAGTTTCTACAACTAGATTTTTAGTTTCTCTAGAACAGCAACCATGCCTTTACATTTTTTATTTTCTTTCCTCTTAGAAAGTCATACTGTAGAACTACTTAGGAATGTATGTGTAATTTCTTCAGTTAAATAATTTAAACAGAAAGCAGTCCATATTTCCCTTTCAAGTATTCACATATCTTGAAGTGTCCCTCTGTTAAAACCAGTAAGGAGATCTGTTACCTTTAAAGACAGCATTCTTAAGTCCTTCTTTTAAGAAGCTTATTACTTGACAATCAGTGATAGAAACATCAAATATGTTTAAATCCATGAGTTCGTAATGATTCTAAAAAAACAAACAAAACCTGTTGGCCTTCTGTGGAGAATGTGTGAAATCCCACTCATTATTCTGAAAACTTAATAAAGAAAATAATGTTGATGGTGCATTTGTGATTGGTACCTCAGAATAACTTGAGTAGTTTAAGACAGGAAGTTTCTATAAAAGTTGTCTGGATAATGAAGGATGATAGATTTAAAGTACTCCCGCTTTGCAGCCATTAATAAACTAATGGATTTAGGTAGTAGCCATCCATGCTGTTCATATCACAAAAAGATAATTAGATGTTAGGAGCCTCCTGTTAGAAGTCAACTTACCCTCTCTTCCTGTAAAAAAACCAAACTAGGATCTGATTATACACTTTTGCATTGAAATACCAATACCAATTTAGAGAAAATATATGGGCCAGAAAAATCCAACATCATGGAAAGGGAGTCAGTAAAATCCAGACTGGAAAATTCTAATACCAGCTGGTATTGTCAGGAAAAAATACCAAAAACAAAAACATGGAGGGGAGAAAAAAGAGGAGGAGAAACCTGTAGATGAAAAGACGTTGCAGAGACATATCAACCATTGCTGTCTGGGAACTTTGGAGAAATATAAACATGGGTTATTTGATGATACTAAGAAATTATGATTAATGTTTTAGTATTCTTAAGTTTTAAAATGTCTTTTCAGAGATATACGCTATAGTATATGTGGACAAAATGATGTTCGATTTGGTGTGGTATGAAGGGTCGGGTCCATTGCTAAGTTCTTTAGCTTAGTACAGAGGAAAAACTGCCTAGTCCATTGAATTACATTGCTTTCTAGCTTCCAGTTTTGAACACTCAAACCATCCATTTTACTTCTAGGACATGTTATTTTAGACATTGTGGGGATCAGCTCATTTGGCTTTATTAATGCATTCATTTAAAAAATGTTTGACTGTGCATGCCAGGTCCTATTCTAGGCACCAAGGATATAGGGTGAACAAGATGGACAAATAAGCCCCTACCTCTTTGGAGCTTTCATTTGAATAGAGTAAGGCATACAGTAAATGAGTAAATTACAAAATGCATACTATATTAGAGAAGTGAGAGGACCTATGTAGAAAATGAAGATATTAATCATAAAATTAAAATCAGTTTCTATTAAAAATAGTTTTTGTTTATATTTTTTGAAGTGCTGTTTCAGAGTATTGCTGTGGCCTGAGGTATTGCTGACTATTTTTTTTTTGTTAGATTCGATGAACGTCAAGAAGGAGAATGAAGGGAAAACACCTTCAAGCACATCTTCTGTGCAAAGTGGTAGGTTAATACAACATGATTTTCTCTGCTTTTGGTACAGTAAGCTTGTATAAATATAAAATATAAACAGTAGAAAAGATCAAAAACTTGTATTTTGCTTTGAAATTTTTACTTTTGTTTTACTTAGAGATACATTGATATGGATTAAGTAAAATGATAACTGTGTTTTTTAGTGCAAATTTTACAAAATTATAGCTATCTAATTATTAATTACTGTGTTTACCAATTTGAAATAATTATCATAAAAAAAACCTTACTAGCATTAAAGTACATGTGAAAGTATGTTTTTTTTCAGGATGATAAGACAGTTCAGTTGTTAAGAGCTTAGGCAGGATTTGACAATCTTGTTCTAGAATCCTGACCTCACTTCTTACTGGCTGTGTGACCTTGGGCAAATAACTCAATGTTTCTTAGCTTTTTTTTTTCTTTTCTGTAGCACAGGAATAATAATAGTTCTTACCTCATGGAACTATTACAGTAAAAGAAAATTAATGTAAAGCATCTAATCTGATGCCTAAGCATATAGTAAATAATTCAGTAGTTGTTAACTTTATTAACCCTGAGATAATTTATGATTCATATTTAAGTTCTTCATTGTGAACAGCATGTTTGAACAGCATTAGAGGGACTTGAGATAGAATTTGACACACTGGACCTGCAGCTCCTAAGGAAAATGAGAAAATAAGTCATGCATACAAAAGACTGAATAAAAATATGCCATAGCAAACTAGGCATGGTAGCTCACACCTGTAATCCCACTTACATAGGAAGGAAGCATAAATAGAATCGTGGTCCAGGCTGGCCCCAGGCATAAATGCAAGACCCTATTGCAAAAATAACTATAACAAAAGAGACTGGGGGTGTAACTCAAGTGGTAGAGGGCCTGCCTAGTGAGTGTGAGACCCTGACTTCAACCCCCAGTACCACAAAAAAAAAAACAAACAAACCACCACCAACAAACTATTATTTTGCAAGAGATTTTCAGGCAAATCTCTTTCCCCTTGTCTTTGTGTTACACTTTCTCTGCCATCCCCAATCCTGGAGTACTTCACTCCATGACTTTCTGCTCCTATGTGAAGACTGCCTGTAGAGGTTATCCCCATGGAATCATTGCCTCTCACTGTGGCTGGGCTCTGTTCCCTTAGCTCCCTTTCTCATTGGCCTTTTTCTCCAGCTCCTCCCTCCAAGCCACCTCATCGCCAAGGAAATGGAAGCTGTTAGGTTAGAATGTTCTCATTACTCTCCATCTTTGTTTTGTATAACAACTTAAACAAGGTAAAGTTCACCTACCATATAGTTCATTTAAGTGTACAATTCTACTTCAGTGTTTTTCAGTATGTTCAAGAGTTGTACAGCTATCACCACAATCAATTTTAATACATTTTCATCACTTTAAAAAGAAACCCTGTACCCATTAGTAGTTGCTTCCTATAACACTGATGTAGGGCAAATACTGATCTATTTTCTGCCTCAATAGGTTAATGCAGATCTACTTTCAGTCTGTATACATTTGCCTATTCTGGATATTTCAAATAAATAAGTTGAAAAATACATTCTTAAAGGTTGAACCTAGTCACCTTTTCAAAATTATCAAACTTTTGATTTAAGAAATAAGATTACCTAACCAAGTTAACAATCACATGCAGACATTTCTCAGGCCTAGACTCTTAACATCTCATCTTAGAAACCAGTCAGTGATGGTTCAGAAGTAAGCTCCAAGAGAGACCAGGTTTTGATCTGTTTTACTAACTGGTACATCCACAGTACCTAGGACAGTGCTTGGTACTGGTGACTCACTATGGGAATCTAATGATAAACAGACAAACATGATTCCTGCTCTCTCTGAGCTTAGGAGGCAGATAGATATTAATAAATACCTAATTACAGTTATGATAAATACTGTGAAGAAATGGGTACTGATGATTCAACTGAGAAGCTTCCACTCCAGTTATTTCACCCAGTTTACATAGCTTGTGAACCCAAGCTATCACTGGTGGAAGACATTGATTCTGATTTACTCTGGAGAAGACTACGGGGGCTAATATAGATTATATTCAGTGTGACAACTGGTGCTGGAACTAATGTATGGATTAGAATGGAGTACAGGCCAAATAAGAGAGACCATGGGCATGTGTTGATAGCAATCAGATCACAAAGTTATGTATATACACCTGTCTCGTGAAAAGACCTAGCAGTTCCTAGGCATCTTCTCTAAGAGAGAATGACCCCACCTTCCCATTTTTTAATGAGGACAAGATGCAAAGGCTGATAGGGGCCTTAGGCCTAGTTAAGATTCTCTGACTATTTTGGATCCTGGCTGGGAATTGAGTTGTGGTATTGATATAGATGTGTCAAAACTAAAACAGGAAAACCTGGTCTGTGTGTGTTTCCAGTATCTTATTGGTAGGGTCTCAGCACAGGAGTAGCCAAGATGAACAATTTTATGAAGGCAGACTAAAATTTTTGACTTACGGGAAAACTAAAGCTCTGCATGGTACATAACTACATGTGGTCATTAGCTAGTAATGTGATGGAAAATGAACATATTACAGAGCACCTGTATAAAGGATTTGGTAGCTCAAATTATAGCCTATTAAGACACAAATAGTGGTAGAATTTTTTAAAAAATGTGTTGCTGGGTGTGGTGGCACATGCTTGTTACCCAGTACTTGGGAGGCAGAAGCAGGAGGATTGCAAGTTCAAGGCCAGCCTGGGCTATGTAGCCAGACTATCGCAAAACAAAAAATTTTGTTAATATGATACATTAAGTATTTTCTCTTGTCATTGGAAAAATTTTCAAATGTTACTGGTTTATGGAAGTATGTTAGTTTTATTGGGTATAAATGTGGAAAGTTTTTAGTTGCCCAATTGTTTTCAATTTATACTGCTTTCTTCTTCGGGTGCCATCTCCTCAATGACATCTAGTCAAAAATTTTTTCCTCATTCATGTTTTTTTAAAATCCTTAACCCTCCCAGTACATTCTGCTCTGGTTATTTTGGACATGGGAGTCTCTCAAACTACTTGTGAGGGCTAACTTTGAATGATGATCCTCATAATCTCAACCCTCAAATAGCTAGGATTACAGGTGTGAGCCACTGTTGCATTGTCCCATTCATGATTTTTTTGTTCTTTTTTAAGATGCTCTCCTAGATGTGGTCCTTTGGTGGAAGGGCAGTACTGGAATTTGAACTCAGGGCCTCATGCTTGCTAGGCAGATGCTCTACCACTTGAGCCACTCCACCAGCCATAAACCTGGGTTTTCTGATTGTCAGGTTAGGGGACCATGGAAACATCTGGTCAATTTAATTTTGGAGCTATGGATCTTAATTTTCACTTTTGACAAAGCTCATTGTGCTAAATTTAGGCATAATTATGTACTTGTTTTTATACTATTTATTAACTTATATACATGCTACTTCATTTAATTCTCAAAAGTACCTGGAACCATATATATTACTTTCCACATTTTATAGATGAAGGAACTGAGGCTGAGAACATGAAATGACTTGCTCAGGGTCACATAGTAAAATACAGCCATACTGGAAGCAGGCAAATCTGACTCCAAAGCTCATATTCTTGACATTCTGCTACATAATGAATTTCAGCACTGTGGTAGTACTCTCTACATAATCTAGAAGCAGAATCAAATCCCATCTTTAGATTTATGGTTAAGTTTTTAAAAAATAAGGTACAGAATGTTATGTCCTGCTTAATACTATATATGATAGGTATATCTACAATATAGATGCATCCACATGTATGTAATGGTTATACACTGAAGATGGCTTTCACTGGCTTGGCAGACTCAGTTGTGCACATCTGTTCCCAATTTCATTGTTGGTAGCTTCATCTTGGCATCCTGTGGTCAATCATGGTTATAGTATTTTATACCACAGAAACCCACAAACACTACCAGCCAGACTTTTTGTATTTTCCAGAAAACTGGCTGTTAAACAGTTATCAGCACCCCATTTACACATTTATGTGTAAATGTAATATCCTTTGAAGGATACAGTAGTCTTCCTTATCTGTAGGGGAACACATTCTAAGATCTAGTAGATATTTGAAACTCTAGATAGTACTGTGGGCTATATATACTATATATACATACCAATGGTAAAGTTTAATTTATAAATTTGACTAGTTAGTAAGAGATTAGTATAGACCTTAGCAACTTCAATATATGATATTTTTCTTAAGTTGAGAACTTTCACTTTTTCACTTAAAGATAATAGCACTTTATGGTTTCTCCTAGACATACCTGAATTACTAGCATTGGAATGGAATTACTCTTGCCCTTTGGGGCCTTTATTAAGTAAAATAAGAGTTATTTGAACACAGGCAGTTTGATTCCTCCATAGGTAATCTGTCAACTGAGATTGCTACTAAGTGACTTAACAGGCAGCTAGCATTGCAGCATGGGCAAAGGGATGATTCACACTGAGTAGGATGGAATGGGATTATGTGAAATTTCATCCCACTACTTAGAAGCACCCATACACTTTAAAACATGAATTGTTTATTTCTAGAATTTTCCATTGAATATTTTTGGACTGTAGTTGATTGTGGGTAACTGAAACCATAAATAAGGGGAGAACTCAGGATAAGGAGGGACTACTATATATCAGAAATTGGTAATGAAGATTCCTGTAGGAAAAGGAACTGCCAAACTCAATATTTTTATATTGAAACTTAATGAGAGTGTAGAAACACCTCATGGTTGATCAGAATTAAACTTTATGAATTAATAACATCTTCAGTATTACTATTAAGTATTTTTCTCAGTCTGGCTAGCATAGTGAGTTGAAGTGTTCAAGCCAAACAAAGTACACTGCTTGCTGAACTTCTCTACCATTATAATATGTCATGAAGACTAAGTGAGAGAGGACAATTTATAGGAAATATAGATCGTTAAAGTAATACCTATCAGTGACCACATTATTGATTGGTTAGCTGCTCTGTTTTATCATCATCTTCTACACTGTGGGTAGAGATCTAATAGTTCATTGAGAATCTTTAGTTGTAAGATTTTCTTCTTTCCATTAAACATTGCAGGGGTACAATTCAGTTAGACCACATAGCTAAGCAGTTACCCTTGAAAAACAAAGTGCCTTCAAATTAATGTGATGAAATTATGCAAACACATTTATCGAATAAATATATTAGAGACAAATGAGTAGACTTTGCCATTACTCTATAAAAATTCCTTTAGTAGTAGTTAGTGTTCACCCTTTTTTTGTGGTGTTAAGAGCTTGAACCCAGGGCCTCATGGATATCATGACTGTAGTCTAGTACTGAGCCACACCCTGGACTCACATTTCTAGAATCACTATGCTTTAGCCCTCAATTCATTAAGAGGTTCTTGGTTGTAATTTATCAGAGCCATTATTATCAGGATGTTATTTTTTATTTCTATGCTGACAATCAAATATAGATCAGAAAGTTTGAATCTGTTCATCAGGAAGTAACCCCTGTTTCATACATGTGTTTTTTCCAGATGAGTTTAACTGGGACATATATTTGAAAGAGACTGGATCTGTAAGTGCTCCTTCAGAGTACTTCAGACAGGTATGTAAAAATTCTGTAGATCTTGTACATATTTATTAAAGGGTGTCTGTGGTTGTTAGGTTCTAGTAGTGTGAGGAGAAAATGGGATTGTGGTAGTGCCATTTAGGAGCCAGATAGTCTGTTTGCATTCACTCATAAAGAATTTATTCTATGTTAGTTGTACTAGGCCCTTATGATTGCCCATCTAGAGAAAAAGACAGACATAAGTAATTATGAAAAGTATGATAACTCTATACTGGGAGGCGTCATAGAAGAGTACCTATTTGAAATGGTTAGAATGAAGGGAAAGGTATTCTAGAAAGAGAAAACATCTGGAGCCAAGGCACATGGTTGTGAAATAATCTGAATATTGAGGAATGGTATGGGGTAATTAGAGCACAGAGTAGATACATGTGATAAGGTGGAATTGAGGTTAAAGTTGTGGAGTGTTCAAACTGTGTTAAGAGGTTGAACTTTATCATAGGCAGTGGTGAACTGCTAGTTGGTCTATTTCAAGGGAAATAGCCTAATCAGATTCTTATTTTAGAGGTTGCATTTGGGTTACCTGGATGTGGGCAGATGGGTGAGACTAGTGGTGGGTATTGTTTTTATGCTGTATATCAAGCCCAGGAGAGAGCTGGGAGAGGTTTTCTTTGACCTTTATAGTGCTGCCTTCTGCCTTCTGCTGTGACTCTTAAAGTGTTTTCCAAGTATTCTGGTAACACAAGTATTCTGGTGACCATCTTCTTTTCTATAGTTGATGAATTTTAACAAAATTTTATTTGTATATAGTCCAAGATTCCACCAGCTAATGACTTCAGAATTGGTATGAAATTGGAAGCACATGATCCTCGCAATATTGCTTCAGTATGTATTGCTACAGTTGTTGGAATGACTGGGGCCAGAATACGTTTACGGCTGGATGGTAGTGACAACAGGAATGATTTTTGGAGACTTGTAGATTCCACGGACATACAGCCTATTGGGACATGTGAAAAGGGAGGAGATTTACTTCAGCCTCCACTGGGTAAGGATAAATGATTGTTAAAATAACATGTTCTTTTTGAATTATTATTTTATTTAGGATTCACTAATAGTACAATGGCGTTTCATGCAAAAGTTCCATATATGCATACAATGTATTTTGAGCAAGTTCACTCCCTCTATTATAGTTGCTTAATCCTCTCCCTTCTCCCTTCTTTTAAAAAATACTTAGTAGGTTTCTTTATGCTATCTCCATATATATATATCTCCATATATATATATATATATCTCCTGTTCACTGTACCTTCTCCATTTCCCCTCCCCTTCTTGAGGAACTACCACGCCCCATTGTCCTTTTTGCACTCAAGTCCCATTATTTTTATTTTTATCATTTTAGAACTAATATGACGTGTAGTAGAAATAATTTTAAGTGGCCTTTTAAAACTTGATTAGGGATTCTTGCAAGTAGATGGTGAGGTGGTTACTGTGAAGAATGTATGATGAAAGAGGAACTCAGTGTCATATGTTGTAGAATTTTAGTTAAGTACACATGGTATATGTATGCTTGAAAGGTCCTATTTCAGGGCAAAGCTCATGCTGATCTTCAAACTTAAAATGCCAAATGTAGCTTTATTAGATTATACATGCAGATTCAGAAACCCTTCTGGGGAAAAATTTGTAGTATTTGGTATGTATTACATCCTCTCTTGATATTTTCCACTCAGCCATTCCACATTTTTGGTATAAGAGTGAGCATAGGAGAAATACGTGATTCCACATTCGGGCTCCAGTTTCAAACGCTAGAATTTCATTGTGCTTAACAATGGGAAGGAATCAGAAAGAGAAGGGTTGTTGATACCTTCAGGTCTTTGAGAAAGACTTCCAAATCCTAACCACTACTCTTCAGGAAACTTACCTTTAGGATTTTGAAGAGTGGGAGAGGATAGAACTGTTAGTAGAGAATTTAAGGTGCAAAGAATGTAGTACTCAATTTTAGCCAACCTTTTAAAAGGTGAAATGGTTACGGTTCTTATTGTGAGCAAAACTTTTTAAAAAATTTTAAGCATACTGTGATACTCTGTAGAAAACAAGTGATTTAGTTTTTGTGATAATCATTCTACATTATAAATAAATGATAAGTGTTGGTTTCCATTTCATTCTTCACGATGCTGAAAATTTCTTACAAGAGAATGGAATTTTTTGTCAGTGAAAAATTTCTCAAGAACAAGAATTTTTTTTTTCATTTTTCTTTTATTATTCATATGTGCATACAAGGCTTGGTTCATTTCTCCCCCCTGCCCCCACCCCCTCCCTTACCACCCACTCCTCCCCCTCCCTCTCCCCCCCCCCTCAATACCCAGCAGAAACTATTTTGCCCTTATTTCTAATTTTGTTGTAGAGAGAGTATAAGCAATAATAGGAAGGAACAAGGGTTTTTGCTGGTTGAGATAAGGATAGCTATACAGGGCATTGACTCACTTTGATTTCCTGTGCGTGGGTGTTACCTTCTAGGTTAATTCTTTTTGATCTAACCTTTTCTCTAGTACCTGTTCCCCTTTTCCTATTGGCCTCAGTTGCTTTAAGGTATCTGCTTTAGTAAGAACAAGAAATTTAAGATACAACAGCTACTCTTTTAGCGGTGTCTTTTCATATAGTCCTTGTTCTAATTGCTAATTAGAAGTGATTTGGTTTAAGGGTTGGAGGTAGAGCTGAGTAGTAGAGCATGTGCTTATCGTGCAGGAAGCCCTGGGTTCAATCCTCAGCACCAAAAAAAAAAAAGTCTAAAATACTTTTTAAAGGCTAGGGTATAGTTCAGTGGCAGAGCTTGCCTAGCACCATCAAATTTTTTAAAAACTGGTCAGAGATATGTTTTTGGGTTTAGGGTTTTTTTTTTGTTGTTATTGTTGTTGGTTTTTGTTGAGTCAGGGTTTTATCCCAGGCTGGCCTCAAATTGGTGAACTTCCTGCCTCAGCCTCTTTCATGCTGGGATTAACAGGCATGTGCCACTACACTAGGCTCAGAGATAATATACCCAGAAGATAACTTTAGGGATTGTGTGTTTTTATCTTTTTCCTTCTTATCATTCTTCATATCACTCACATTTTTGTTGCTTATGATATTTTTTAAAATCATACAGAATTCTGTATGAGGGGTAAATACAAACCTGGGCCTAATGCTTCCCTGTTTTTTTTCTTTTTAAATATGATATGAGGGTCTCACTATGTTAGCCTTGGTTGACCTTAAGCTCAGAATCTTCCTACATCAGTCTTCTAAGTGCTGGGATTACAGATTTGTGCCACCACACCCAACTTCACTATTTGGATTTTATTTCTCTGTACTATGACAATACATTTTTGCATTTTGTTTAAAGGAGATACAGCTATTGTGATTGTCTCATTTCAAATACAAAGCCAGATTTATGATCATTCTCTTTTTTCAAATTACTTTGTAGAGTTTTCTTCATATTTAAAAAATATGAAATGTAAACTGGTCAGTGTGGCACATGCCTGTAATCCCAACACTTAGGAGACTGAGGCAGGAGAATCTAGAGTTTTAGGTCAGCCTGCGTTACATAAAGAGACCCTATGTCAAAAAAATATAAGTATATAGTAATACATGCTGATTATTATGTATTTTGGCAATACATATAGAAATACACAGTTTATGCCAGTTTGGTTTTTAAGTGCTTTTTAATAATTTATTTTTCATTTTACTATATCACAACTTAGTTTTCCTTTTTAAAAGTTTTAAATATTTCAAGTTTTAACATACAAACTGAAAAGTATACAAATTATAAATGAACACACCTGTGTAACCACCACCCAAGTTAGGAACTAGAACTTTGTCAGCACCCTAAATGCCCCACTCCTGCCCTTTCTCAAAGGCAACTACCATCCAGACATCCTAAAATTATAGATTAGTTGTATCTGTTTTTGAACTTTTTATATGTGCTGTAATCTTTTTTGAGCTTTTAATCTAAGTTTGGCTTTAGGCAGTTACAGAATTAAGAAAAATATTATATGTAGAAAAACATAATGAAATAGGATAAGATGTGAGTTAGGAGAAAGGAATACCAAGTAGGCTCTGGGTTTAATGCCCAGTATTAGAGAAAGAGAGATAGACAGTCATAAGGACCAGAGAATAATTGTTACTTAATATTCTCCAACGAATGCTGGAGATATCAAGTAAATAGTGGGGAATTACAAAATAGTTGGAAACTACTTACTAGATATCAGTAATGTTGGCTTATTATAAAAGAGTAAGTAACAACTTCCCATTTTCCTTGCAATAATTGTTTCTCTAGTCATATTAAGAGGGTTTTGGTACACTAATATTAGAGGATGACTTTATCTTAACATTTTTGCATAAGTTTTCATATTAGCGAATTTGTTGCCAGTGTTTCTCAAGTCTCCCTATCTTAATGCATGTATCTATCAGGAGCTCATGCAAACTTAATTCCAATTCTGGTATTAAGGTAGGCAGGTAAACATATTGCCCCCAAGAAAACAGTAAAACTAGCAGAACTCTGCTCCTTGCTGCATGTGTCAGATGCTGTGATATCAGTTGGTGAGATCTCCAGAAAAGACACCTGTTGAGTCTTATTTTGGTAGCTTCTGATACAAATATTAAAAGATGAGGTTTAATATGTGTTTTAATTGATAAAGTGAGAAGTCTTTTTCCCTATCATTTTATGAAAAATTTCAAGTATACAGAAAAAGTAAAAGAATTTTATAGTGAATACCTACATACCCTCTACCTAGATTCTACCATTATCATTTTACTGTACTTTTATCACTTAATCTATCTGCCCTTCTGTTGATTTATCAATCTGTCTTTACTGCATTTCTGAGAAAGTTATTGGCATTAGTACACTTTCCTTAAATACTTAGGCATGTATATCATTGACCAGAATAAGTATGTATAGTTTTTTCTTTAGCAATAAAACATGCAATGGAATGCACAGTTTTATGTGCACATTTTCTGAGTTCTATAGAAAACTGTCTTTCTGAAAGGAAAGGAGCCAGGGGCTCTCGGGGAAAAGGGCTAGAAGTCTTGCGACCTTTGCCTATGTTTGTGTGGTTGTTGGAAGCAGAATGGACATTATCCTGGGCTCTGGCTTAGATCACCCCTACTATTATGGCCCATCCCCAGCACAGACATGTTTGTTGGTGAACCCTACCTAGTAGCTTCTCTAAAATGAAAGTTTCTGGTCCCACTGTAGTATTGTCAGACAGTACAGTGGTGGCAGTAGCAACAAGAGGGTACATCTGCTCCTCTTGTCTCCATGTCTCAAGTCCTTAGGTAAGAAAGTCATTCTCTGTAAAGGAATGATAAATGAAACCTGTTTTTTATACCAATTTGCTATAGTTTGGAAGCCTTTTCATGATATCTAACTTATTTTATGAACTAGGGTACCAAATGAACGTATCATCTTGGCCAATGTTCCTCTTGCGGACACTAAGTGGATCTGATGTGGCACCTGCGTTGCTCTTTAAGAAGGTAAGACAGTGCTGTAAAAAGCTCCTATCCATCAACAGGTCCATGGTTTTGTTGTTTTCATAGGAATGCTTAAATACTTTTCATCTTCTCTGACATGGAAAGGCGAAAAATAAGTCTTAAATTACTGGATTGGCAAGTATATTAGTTTGCTGGGACCACCACATAACACAGTATCACAAACTGGGTGTCTTAAACTATACCAATTTATTTCCTCACAGTTCTGGAAGCTAGAAGTTTAAGATGAAGGTGCCTTCAAGGTTGGTTTGTGGTGAGACCTCTACTAGGCTTACAAATGGTCACATTCTTTTTATTTTATTTTATTCATATGTGCATACAATGTTTGGGACATTTCACTACCCTTCCCCCCCCCCCCGCCCACTCCCTCCCTTACCCCCCTTTACCCCTCACTACCTGGCAGAAACTATTTTGCCCTTATCTCTAATTTTGTTGCAGAGAGAGTATAGGCAATAATAGGAAGGAACAAGGGTTTTTGCTAGTTGAGATTAGGATAGCTATACAGGGAGTTGACTCGCATTGATGTCCTATACATGTGTGTTACCTTCTAAGGTAATTCTTCTTGAACTAGCCTTTTCTCTAGTTCCTGGTCCCCTTCTCCTATTGGCCTCAGTTGCTTTAGTTTCTCTTTAGTATCTGCTTTAGTTTCTCTGCATTGAGGGCAACAAATGCTATCTAGTTTTTTACGTGTTTAACCTATACTCATACCTCCCTTGTGTGCTCTCACTTTATCATGTGATCAAAGTCCAATCCCCTTGTTGTGTTTGCCCTTAATCTAATGTCCGGATATGAGGAAGAACATGCAATTTCTGGTCTTTTGGGCCAGGCTAACCTCACTCAGAATGATGTTCTCCAGTTCCATCCATTTACCAGCAGATGATGACATTTCGTTGTTCTTCATGGCTGCATAAAATTCCATTGTGTATAAATACCACATTTTCTTAATCCATTTGTCAGTAGTGGGGCATCTTGGCTGTTTCCATAACTTGGCTATTGTGAATAGTGCCGCAATAAACATGGGTGTGCAGGTGCCTCTGGAGTAACCTGTGTCACATTCTTTTGGGTATATCCCCAAGAGTGGTATTGCTGGATCATATGGTAGATCAATGTTTAGCTTTTTAAGTAGCCTCCAAATTTTTTTCCAGAGTGGTTGTACTAGTTTACATTCCCACCAACAGTGTAAGAGGGTTCCTTTTTCCCCGCATCCTCGCCAACACCTGTTGTTAGTGGTGTTGCTAATGATGGCTATTCTAACAGGGGTGAGGTGGAATCTTAGTGTGGTTTTAATTTGCATTTCCTTTATTGCTAGAGATGGTGAGCATTTTTTCATGTGTTTTTTGGCCATTTGAATTTCTTCTTTTGAGAAAGTTCTGTTTAGTTCACTTGCCCATTTTTTATTGGTTCATTAGTTTTGGGAGAATTTAGTTTTTTAAGTTCCCTATATATTCTGGTTATCAGTCCTTTGTCTGATGTGTAGCTGGCAAATATTTTCTCCCACTCTGTGGGTGTTCTCTTCAGTTTAGAGACCATTTCTTTTGTTGAGCAGAAGCTTTTTAGCTTTATGAAGTCCCATTTATCTATGCTATCTCTTAGTTGCTGTGCTGCTGGGGTTCCATTGATAAAGTTCTTGCCTATACCTATTAATTCCAGAGTATTTCCTACTCTTTCCTGTACCAACTTTAGAGTTTGTGGTATGATATTAAGATCCTTGATACATTTTGAGTTAATATTGGCAGAGGGTGATATACATGGATCTAGTTTCAGTTTTTTGCAGACTGCTAACCAGTTTTCCCAGCAGTTTTTGTTGAAGAGGCTGTCTTTTCTCCATCGTATATTTTTAGTTCCTTTGTCAAAGACAAGTTGGTTATAGTTGTGTGGCTTCTTATCCGGGTCCTCTATTCTGTTCCACTGGTCTTCATGTCTGTTTTTGTGCCAGTACCATGCTGTTTTTATTGTTATTGGTTTGTAATATAGTTTGAAGTCAGGTATTGTGATACCTCCTGCATTGGTCTTTTGACTGAGTATTGCCTTGGGTATTCGTGGCCTCTTGTGTTTCTATATAAATTTAACAGTAGATTTTTCAATGTGTTTAATGAATGTCACTGGAATTTTGATGTGAATTGCATTGAACATGTAGATTGCTTTTGGGAGTATAGACATTTTTACTATGTTGATTTTACCAATCCATGAGCGTGGGAGAACTCTCCACTTTCTATAGTCTTCCTCAATCTCTTTCTTCAGAAGTTTATAGTTTTCCTTGTAGAGGTCATTCACATCCTTTGTTGGGTTACACCTAGGTATTTGATTTTTTTGAGGCTATTGTAAATGGAATTGTTTTCATATGTTCTTTCTCAGTTTGTTCATTATTAGTATGTAAAAAATGCTAATGATTTTTCTGTGTTGATATTATATCCTACCACCTTGCTATAGCTATTGATGGTGTCAAGGAGCTTTTGAGTAGAGTTTTTTGGGTCTTTAAGGTATAGGATCATGTCGTGTGCAAATAGGGATATTTTGACAGTTTCCTTACCTATTTGTATTCCTTTTATTCCTTCTTCTTGCCTCATTGCTCTGGCTAGGAATTCCAGTACTATGTTGAATAAGAGTGGAGATAGTAGGCATCCTTGTCTAGTTCCTGATTTTAGAGGGAATGGTTTCAGTTTTTTTCCATTAAGTATAGTGCTTGCTGTAGATTTGTCATATATAGCTTTTATAATGTTGAGGTACTTTCCTTCTATTCCTAGTTTTCTTAGAGCTTTTATCATGAAATGGTGTTGGATCTTATCAAAGGCTTTTTCTGCATCTATTGAGATGATCAAGTGGTTTTTGTCTTTGCTTCTGTTAATGTGGTTTATTACGTTTATTGATTTTCGTATGTGAACCACCCCTGCATCCCTGGGATGAAGCCTACTTGGTCGTGGTGAATGAATCTTTTTGATGTGTTGTTGAATTTGGTTTGCCATTATTTTTTGAGGATTTTTGCATCAATGTTCATTAAGGAGATTGGCCTATAGTTCTCCTTTTTGGAGGTGTCTTTGCCTGGTTTTGGGATAAGTGTAATACTGGCTTCATAAAATGTGTTAGGCAGTTTTCCTTCCCTTTCTATTTTGTGGAACAGTTTAAGGAGGGTTGGTATCAGTTCTTTAAAAGTCTGATAGAGTTCAGCAGAGAATCCATCAGGTCCTGCACTTTTCTTTTTGGGGAGACTCTTGATTGCTGCTTCAATTTCATTTTGTGTTATAGGTCTATTCAGGTGATTAATTTCCTCCTGGTTCAGTTTTGGATGATCATATGTATCTAGAAATCTGTCCATTTCTTTAAGATTTTCAAATTTATTTGAATATAGGTTCTCAAGTAGCTCTGATGATTTCCTGGACTTCCATGGTGTTTGTTGTTATCTCCCTTTTGCATTCCTGATTCTACTAATTTGGGTTTTTTCTCTCCTCATTTTAGTCAGGTTTGCCAGGGGTCTATCGATCTTGTTTATTTTTCAAAGAACCAACTTTTTGTTTCATTAATTCTTTGTATGGTTTTTTTGGTTTCTATTTCATTGATTTCAGCTCTTATTTTTTTATTCTCTCCTATTTGTTTTGGGATTTTTGTTCTTGTTTTTCTAGGAGTTTGAGATGTATCATTAGGTCATTGATTTGGGATCTTTCAGTCTTTTTAATATATGCACTCATGGCTATAACTTTTCTCAGGACTGCCTTTGCTGTGTCCCATAGGTTCCGGTAGGTTGTGTTTTCATTTTCATTGACTTCCAGGAACTTTTTAATTTCCTCTTTTATTTCATCAATGACCCATTGTTCATTAAGCAATGAGTTATTCAGTTTCCAGCTGTTTGCAGTTTTTTGTCTTTACTTTTGTTGTTGAGTTCTAGTTTTATTGCATTGTGATCAGATAGTATGCATGGTATAATTTCTATTTTCTTATTTTGCTGAGGCTGCTTTGTGCCCTAGGATATGATGATTTTGGAGAAGGTTCATGGGCTGCTGAGAAGAATGTATATTGTGTAGAAGTTGGATGAAATGTTCTGTAGACATCAAGTAGGTCCATTTGATCTATTGTATATTTTAGATCTAAGATTTCTTTCTTTATTTTTTTGTTTGGATAACCTATCTATTGATGAATCTGGGGTTTAAAGTCTCCCACAACCACTGTGTTGGAGTTAATATGCTTTTAGGTCTTCAGGTATGTTTGATGAAATTGGGGCGTTGACATTGGGTGCATACAGGTGATGATTATTATTTCCTTTTGGTCTATTTCCCCCTTTTATTAGTATGGAATGTCCTACTTTATCTCTTTTGATCAATGTAGGTTTGAAGTCTACTTTTTCAGAGATAAGTATTGCTACTGCTGCCTGTTTTCGGGGGCCATTGGCTTGTTAAATCTTCTTCCAGCCTTTCATCCTAAGCTTATGCTTATTTCTGTCAGTGAGAGGGGTCTCCTGTAAATAACAAATTGTTGGATGTTCCTTTTTAATGCAGTTCATGAAATGGTACCTTTTGATGGGGGAATTAAGTCCACTAACATTAAGTGTTAGTACCGATATGTATGTTGTGATTCCTGTCATTTATTTGTCTTAATTCTTTGAAGGTTTGGTTGTGTGTACCTAAGTTGAGGTTACTCTCTACTTTCTTGCTTTTTCTTTTCCTGTAGGTTGGTGCTACCTGCCCTTTCACGGTTATGTTGGGTTTCACTTTCTGTGTGCAGAATCGCTTGAAGAATCTTTTGTAGTGGTTGGTTTGTGGTCACATATTGTTTTAGTTTCTGCTTATCATGGAAGACTTATTGCTCCATCTATTTTAAATGGTAGTTTTGCTGTGTAGAGTATCGTTGGGTTGAAGTTATTTTCATTCAGTGTCTGGAAGCTCTCACCCCAAGCTCTTCTTTCTTTTAATGTTTCTGTTGAGAAGTCTGCTGTGATTTTGATTGGTTTACCTTTGTATGTTACTTGTTTTTTCTCTCTTACGGCCTTCAATATT